GGAGGGTAACAATGAAGAAGATCTTTAAAAGGATGAATCCTGCCCATAGAGCGAGGTAAAGTGCGAAATATCATTGTGAGCGAATAATATATATAAAACAGGTATGGAGGTGTAGAAGGAAATGAGGTGAGGCTTTCACCACCTCAGGGGACTGTATTTAACGTCTAAGAAACCGATATCAAGTATTTTTCGACAGGTTCAAGAGTCACCACATGATATCACGACAAGTTTTTGTGAGACGAGGAAAGATGTGGTCGGCTTCAGATGGGTGTCAGGAGGTCAGTGATCGGGGTCCATCATTACCTGTTACTCACCTTACCAGCCGTTCACTATCATACATTGAGGAGCTTTCCTCTGGCAAGCGAATAAACTTGTATCGGTCTACCTCGTTCGCAAGGAGTTTCTCTATCGCATCGGTACATAAAATGAGTGAAACAACAACTCGCACGACGGGCCAGAAAAGAAAACGAGATGATGCGGCCTCAGTACAAAGTCCGGCAGGAGGAAACGCTCAAAGACAGTGGGAACAAGCAAATGCTCCTCGTAAGTGTACATGCACATCTCCTTGACTGCTTGGTAGTGCCATTGCTGACAGTCTCGGGTCGAACATAGATTTAGACCCAAACAACTTTCAGAATGGGTATGTTTTAAGGATGTTTTGCATAAGTTCGATGCTAAATCTCAGTCCTGTTCACTCCCAACGTCGTTCCATACGAATTGAAGCTCGTTCTACATGGGCCACCCTCAGAATGGTTACAATCCGGCCTTAATGGCGATGCAAGCTACAATATTACAAGCTCAAACAGCTGCTGCAATGGCTGCCTCCGGTTCGGGAACTGCAACACCATCCGGTGCTCACCGCGCAAAGGACAGCGGCAATGCTGACCGAACAAACTTTAACCAACTCAAGGATGCCATGTCTATGGGTGGGGTTTCTCTTCGGGTGAGTGAAAAGTGTCGTGTCATTCGAGAATTCGCCCGCTGATTGTTGTGGTCCCTTTGTCCTTATGGCCTGGACTTGCGGAACGATTAGGAAGAAGAGGATTACCTTAATCAACGTGGTCAGATACCCAGCAGCTCCTACTCTGGAGATAACCGCTCCCGTACCCAGGATTTCATCCCTCACCAATTCCTCGTTTCCCTATTCAAGACCGTCGCCAAACACCACAAGCTTCAGGGTATCACCCAGGACGTCATTACCCTTGCTGGACTAGCAGTCGAACAGCGTCTACGATCGCTGGTGGAAAAGGCCAACGTCGCAAGTAATCACCGCTGGGAGACCCAGACCGAAATCAATGCTGGAAATACCATCAAAAAGGAAGCCGACGAAGAAGAAAAGGAACGTGTTTCCATGTATGCCGATGGAAAGACCCCAGTCTTCGATAGAAACTTGCGAAGAGATGTTGGAAAGCAATTACTGGCCATTGAAAAGTTGGAGAGGGGCGAAGAAATGAGGATAAGGAGGGAAAGAAAGGAAAGGCAAGAACAAATGAAACAAAATAGTGCTGGGGCGAGCGGTGCGGTACGTACAACTTTTCTGTGGTCTCACAAATTCCTGTTAAAACCCGTTTAGAACGCCAGTGAGGAGGCTGAGGTGGATGAAGATGCCCCTCCCAAGAAAAAAAAGAAACGT